GACGAGCCTCGGTGACAGACGCTTTCTCCGATGAGCCGCCGGAGACGTGCCAAAGTACTTTCGAGGTTGTTTGACGGCTCGACACAGCCACTTAATACAAGTCGCCAATGCACTCTATGAACGCTTCCCTGAGCCGCGACTGGCACGTCCGTCGACAGCGGGGCTTTGGACAGTGCGCGGGGCGCGGTGGCCATGGCTCGCAGCGGCTGTGGCGGTGGCACTCCGCGGGGGGCGAGTGGGGGTGCCACGGAGCAGCCACGGGCGGGTGGGCAGGTCGATTGGAGAAGGAGGATGGGGAGAAGCAGGAAGGAGGCGAAGAGGGGGGAGTCAGGGCCTGTCAGCTGCAGGCGACGCACGCGCAATTTGGGCCGAGTGCGGAGGGCAGGATCCCTTTCGCGCGCCCGCCTGCGCGTCCCCAGCACGTCCCCCGTCTCTCCCGCCCCGCCGCTTTCCTCTTTCCCCGCCACTCCCCGATCCTCATGTCTCGCTTGCCCTCCCTCCTCCGCTCGTCCAACTTGTTCCTCTCCCCTCTTCTTCCTGCTCCCTTCCTCTCCCTCTCCCTCCGTCGTCCTCATCCTCGCCCCACATTCTGGCGACCGGCATACTCGTGAGGCATGTCCGACCTTAACCCCACGTATGGCGCCTTGTTCGTCGGTTTCCTCTTATCCGCGGTGTACGCAACGTTCCAATCTACTGATTTTGCCCCGACCGCTGAACACCTCGCTCCCCACAGGCTCTTCGGGGTGACCATGCTCCAGACATTCGTTTACTTTCAGCAATACGCCTCGGACAGGGCGTGGAGAAAGATGTCCGTCTGCTGGCTCTGGTACGCGCCCGTCCTGATTGTGACCACTTCGCACGAGTGCAGTATGGTGGTACCACTCAGCTTCGCCCCTTGGCTAGGTTCCTCGATGCGCTCCATCTCGCATTGAGCGCGCACTTCGTCTACCACTACCTCGTCACCGACTACGCCAGACCCGACGCTCTTTCTCAGATCGTGTGGAGCTACAAGGTGCGTCCTCTCCCCTTCTAGTCGCGCCGCGCTGCGTCAGCTCGCTGAGCGCCTAACACCACCCTCCAGCTCCGAATTGTGGTCGACGTGCGTGCTTGTGTCACTCGTCTCGGTTACCGGCTCAGGCTGACGGTCCACGGACGTCCACCCAGGCACTCGTCGTTGCCTCCGTGCACACGTAAGTCTCAAGTGTCTCACCGCTCCGTCATCGAGGAGGAGTCGCCGAAAGAGGTCCCTGCAGCGCCCGGGGCCGTGACTCCTGGCCTTGTGTCAGGTCGCGCGTCCCTGCATGTCTCGCAGCGAGGAGCCGTACATTCATACGCTTCGTGGCGTGTTGCATCTCGCGTGCTCACAAACCTCCTTTTGCAGGTTGTACACGTCGCGCCTGTGGACGCGTGCGCCCCTTCCGTCGCTTCCATGCACGCAACCCCAGAATTGACCGTGTTCGTTTCTGTTTTCGTGCGCAGTGCTGGCGATAGACGACCATGTCGAGCCTTTTGGTAAGGAGGCGCGCCGATGGAGCCGCCAGAAGATGACGGTGCACGCGAGCGCGACGCGGTGGGTCATGCGGAGGATAGCACCGTGGCTTGCTGTAAGCCTTTTTCCCGCTTTCAGTGATTTAGGCGTATCGACCGTTTTTCAGAGCGCCCTTGTAGTTGTCGGCTATGGTATGTCATTTCAGGGCTGTGCTGAACACGTCTGCCTTATTGACGACATCATGTTCTTGATTAGCACTTGGCATAGGTACGCAGACACGCGCTCAGTATGTTGCGTATCAACTGAGTGTGACTCCGCCCAGTAATGTGCATAGTAACGTGAGTTGCATGTGGTGGCTCATACGTCCCGGAGTGACGTTCCCTCGACACAGCTTCAAGCTCGACACGTTCGGCGACCTATTGCATGCTCCCGTGCGTCCCGTCTTCGTTTCTCGAAGCTACAACCAGATGCTCAGAACACACTACCCCGTCAGTGGGCCACATTCATCCCCCTAGGATCATCGACCGTCATCGACGTGATCATCGCTGGGTCGCTGTGTTACTTTCTCGCGCGATGTCGACCACGGTCCACAGCGTGCGTTCCTTCTCCTTTCTCTCAAATATCCTCGATCACTAGAACTTCTCGCACGTGCGCAATAGGATGGAAGGTCCAGCGAAGACGTTCATGATGTACACCCTCAACACGGGCATCATAACGAGGCACGTTCAACCCCTCACCACTCCCTTCCAAGTTCGCTTCTCTCAATGTTTCGTGCGCTCATACGATGGTCGGCGTAGCTTCTGTTCGCTCATTACTATCTCTACGGTACGTCCCTGGCTCGAGCCGTGTGCACAGTGTAAGACGCGACGCTCACTCACCACCGCGACGACGCCGGCGGTAGATGGTCGCGTTTCCGACGACATTCATCCCGATCGCGATCGAGTTCCTCGTTATCAAACGTACGCCTTCCGCTGCCGCTGTGCATATTATCTCTCTCGCCCTCACTAACGCGTTCCCCCTGCGAATAGTGTACATCAATTCGTACATGGCCATGTCCGTACCCGTTCCTCCCATTTGATCAAAAACACGTCTCGGGCCTTCCCGCTCGTATTGAACTCACCACCCCCAAATCCACCCCACAGGCTCAACGCACGCAGCGTGCTCCACCCCGCCTGGCACGACCACCCCGATGCGCCCGACTGCGCGCTCCCAACACTCCTCCCTGCCCGGGCCCGCCCGGCGCACGACCAGAAACGGCCGCTCCCTTTCCCTTTCCCCTTCCCCGCCTCCTCATCGTCGCTCCAGCTCGCCCCCTCCCCTATCCCCACTCCCACCCAGGCCGGCGCATCAAACCGCTCCCCATCCCACTCCCCATCGCCAGAGTGGCCGCGCGCGAGCCCGGCGTCGACGCTCCGCGCGCCGCGGATGACGCACCCCGACGCGTGCCCGCACTATGGCGTCGTCGAGACCCCGGTGGGTATCAGCGTCGACTCGCAAGGGGGGTTCGCGGTGCCGCCCCTCGGCTCGCGCGCGCACTCGTTCGCGTCCTCGGCGTCCTCGGTCACTGCGACCGCGACTACCACTCCTGCGGCGTTTCTCTTGCCCTCACCCACGTCCTCACCATCACTCGCCACGACGAAAGCGTCCGCGATGTCCTTCGCGCACCCTCTTGATCCGCTCACGCCGCTCCCACATCCTCAGTTCCCGCTCCGCCGCCACACTGTGGACGTGGACGAATTCGGAGCCTTGAGCAACGCAGGGCATGGGACCGCGCGCTCGCCTGGCGCAGAACATCCCGCGTCCCCACTGGACCGTGCGCTCTCCCCGCTCCGCTTCGCGTCGCACGCGGAGGGGAGCCGGTCTCCTGCCGGCTCGCTTTCGACCTCCACGGCCCCACGCTCGCTCTCCCTTTCTCTACCCTTACCCTTACCTGCGCCGTCTTCCCCATCTCCATCTCCAACTCCAACCCCCTCCTCACCGTCGTTTTCGATCCCGTCCCCATGTCCGTCCCCGTCGTACACGGCGACCGCGTTCCCGCGCCCGTCGCGCCCGCGCCTCCCCAGCGCGTTCTCAGACTCGGAGGAGGGCGGGCTGTCTACACTAACGTCGCCGCCCCTAGTGATGCCGTCGTTGGTGCAGCCACCGGTGTTGCCGTCGCTGATGTACGACGCGGCGCAGGGGGGCGGGAGGCGGTATACGCGCATGGTGAATGAGGCGCGGGAGAGTCGGCGCGGGTCGGGGTTTGCGGCGCGGGATGTGGGTGGTGGCGGTGGTGGTGGCGGGATGGGCGTTGAGGACGAGCGGGGGGTGTGGGTGTGGGGCGGGCCCGGGCACGGACCGTTGGTGAGCTGAGATGTTGCGTGGCGCAGAGCGGGCTTCGGCCGGGCCTTGGTGCGCGCGATTTTGAGCATTTATTCTCTTTTTTCTCCCGCCCGTCCGTGCGTCTGCACAGTACGTTATTACTTTGCACTATTGCGCACCTTTCTTAACGGACCCGTTCCCGATTGGTGTTTTCTCCATCTCTTCTCGGCGATATCCTCCACGCTCGCTTCAAACTGTACACCCGCATATTGTTTTTTTACAACCCCGCACTCATTCTGTTTGCGTTTATTCCGAATCCCCCCGCTCCACCCCCGGCGCGCGACTACGAACTGCGAAGGCAGTCTACCTACCACCCACGCTCCCCTTTAAGATTCCCACTCTGCTAGTATACTAGTACCTTTCCGAGCTTACCTACACTGTGCCAGTTAACATCTTTCGCTCATCGTGTCTGGTGCCCCGTCTGTTGTCTGTCGCGAAGCTTCCATATGTACCCGTGGCACTCGTTACAAGCTACGATTCGCCAAATCTACATGTTAATCACCCACCAGGTCGGGTTGCACGTGAGTACTCAATCCTATCTTATCTGCTCAGCGCTTCTCGATGCGACTGTCTAGTCCAGCGCCTCGCCGAGTGCTCGTCGAGTCCTCCCCAGCGTCCACCACGTCGCGCGCACGAGAATCTCCTGCGCGAAGGCGCGCAATAGAACTATTGCCATTATAACCTTAAAATTATGTATGAGAAACCCTTTTGGGTGTAAATTGTGCATTATAGGCATATCGCGTGCATACTAAGGACTGGTCACATATTGAACGAGTAGTTCATTTAGTGTGAAAGCTTACTGGGAGAGAATTACGGGTACGTATAGTATTATAGAGCTTTATTTACACGTCGCGCACTTTCTCGTGGAAGATCCTTGTACGCGCAACGCGGTGGACACTGGGGAGGACTCAACGAGCACTCGAGGCGCTGGACTAGGCAGTCGCATCTGGAAGCGCTGAGGAGATAAGATAGGATTGAGTACTCGCGCCATAGCGGGGTTTGAACGTGCAACATAACCTGGTGGGATTGAAGTGTAAGTAGTGCTCGAGGACTGTAGACCCGTTGGTGGACGGTGAGCGTCTGTGGGCACTACTGAGCGGAAGTAGGAAGCTGGGTCACGCCATAAACAAGACAAGCTTTGTTTACCGGAGACATCATAGCCAAGTGGTTACGGCGACAGATTAGAATAGTACCCCAAAGATAAGCCTTGATATCTGTTTCCCTTTGGGAGCGCAGGTTCGAATCCTGCTGGTGTCGTAGTTGTTTTTTGTTACTGCAAGTGGTGTTGATGGGGGCCCTACTTAGCGCAATTTACGCAGCGCCCCGGGCCACCATGACACAGCGTCCGGAGTGTCGCTATCGGTGACGGTGGCGCAGTAAGCTGACTCAGTTCGACGTGGAGCCCAAACTCTTAAAGATCTTCCATCTACGTCCCGGTTTCCCAAGATAAAAGGATCTTATTTCTGAATGCCTTCTATAATATGCCGGCTTTGTGGGATGCGGGTGAACAACGGGCAAAGTTATTGACTGTTCACTATTGTACTAGTACTACGAAGGTTTTCACACATTACTATTTGTGTGGTTGTCTAGCAACAATATCAGACTGATATTCAATGCTCTAGGCATATCTGATTCATGCAGAATAAAATCATCACGATGCCGTTCATACATGGGGTCGAAATTACGACAGGCATATTAATCCAATGAGCGTGATCGTCACCTAAATAGAATATCATGAGACCTATAACAAATACTTGCTTGCGCGGTATAGTGCACACCCAATTCTACAATATATCTGGCTCTATTTGAGCCATACAGGAATACCGGCGGCTATTCCGGGACAGTGGTGTTTTGTCTTCGTCCGTATGAGGATGTCCTCTGGATGATAGTACCTGAGCCCGAACTTTAGTAGACACAACCAGATAAATGGGCTCGGGAAGCGAACGGTAGAACCCCCACTAAACCGCTGCACTTCTCCCACCTGCTGACCACATGAACCAAATTGGAAATACCTCATTCCCGATTAGGTCGAAGCCACCATCGACAGAAAATCCATATAATGAGGATTGTTCCGCTGCATGCGCAATTTTGGGTCTCAGAGATCTTCAAACGGTTTGTAGCATGCTTACACGATGATGCTGGGCTGACGAATGACAATCCTCTATAGTTTGAACTTCTTGGTGCATCACACGTACAATTGGAGATCAAGATATACATTGTTAACCCCCAACTACAATTTGAATGATTTACAGGCCAAGGAACCTATTCCCGCGTTTATCGGGTACGTTTAGTAACATTGCACCTGCGAGAACTACAGCATGCCCAACTAATGGCCACAGGCGTGTACCGGGTCACTGGGATCTCTCAGTGCCATCAAGGTAATGCGTGCAACGAATGGTGCAGAACTGGAAGACGGGTTGCAAAATACCACAATTCGCGAAATATCCATCCATTCGGCCTTATCACGGATTCAGCATCCAAATATCGCAATGCTTCTACAGAAGGGGGTCAACGAGAAGGCGGCCGTACTCCAGCTGGAGTACTACCCATGGGATCTGGAGAAGTACATCCAGCAAGAAGGAATCACGCAAGGAATAGGAGGACGTAACGTGTGCATGTTGCCACCCGGGAGTTCTCGATGTATTATGCGTCAAATCTTGAAGGGAATAGCCTTCTGCCACGAACAAGGATACATTCACCGAGACCTGAAGCCGCAGAATATTTTTATCACCAGTCAAGGGGTGGTCAAGTTGGGAGACTTCGGCCTCGCCATACAGTATCATCCAAATATACTACTCTCGTCCAATGTGAGCAGATCCCTCTCTTTTCATCACGTCTTCGGCGTTGGAATAACTCGGTGCTAATGTTCACTGACCATCTCGGCCCCGGGCGACGGTATAACAACGACATCCAGGTCGTAACTCTCTGGTACCGCGCCCCGGAATTACTTCTAGACTGGGAGCAGGGAACGGCTGGATTTGTCTCCCCCAAGTTATATTACGGCTTCGAGGTGGATGTCTGGTCGTGCGGCTGCATATTTGCGGAGTTGCTTTATGGAAGGGAGCCATTCGATGATATCACTGGCGTCGTACCGCTGGACAATCATCACAGGCAAGAGTCCTTAGGAAAACGCCGAAGCCGGATTCACAGAGAGATCACGAGTGGTAAACTCTTCCACTTGGAACCGAAACTTGAGGAACCAGGTATACATACCCATTTCGAGATAAAACTCATCTGAGTGTGACATTTACTGATACAATTTTTGTTTCACACCAGCTAGGGACCTCCTCAAACGGCTCTTATTAATCGACACTCGAGGAAGAATAACTGCGGCCGACGCGCTCCAGCATGAGTATTTCCGCGTCTGACCGGGACACATGGCCCGTAACCGTGGCGGAGCAGGCACCTCCTACTGCCGCTTCAGCCGTGATGCTACTAGTACCGGTTGATGTTGCAATACCCCGTCCGAGTAGCGTGGCGGAAAACGTCGAGCCTGATAACGGTCTTCGTAGGCAACAATTCGTCTTCTATGTATACGTACCACACTTTTCGTAGAATTAGAACAGCCTGCATTGAATAGCATCGAATCGCGACAAACCACGTACAACGCGGCGATGCCGAAGTGTTGCGGGTAAACACTGCGCCAAATTGACGAAAGTGACAGATCGAGTCCGAAGTGGCTGGAATGCTAACCAAGGAGAAACTTGGATTCCGTGTACTGTACAAGAAGATTGCGCGCTTCAATGCAACGTCTCCTTCAAACGGCACCCGCCTTGCCCACCGAGATACCGAGGTCGCGTAGACGGCCCGTCTCGAGCTCGTACACCCACCCGTGCACTTCCACGTCCTTGCCCTGCGCCCACGCGGCGGTGATCACGTCCGTCTGCACAATGTTCGCCACCTGCGAACGCACGTTCGCCTCCACCAGCGCGGTGAGATCGGTGTGCTCCTTCGCGATCTCCGTCAAGGGCGCGAGCCAGCGGCCGAGCGCATCATCCGACGCGTGCGCATCAGAAGGAGAGTGCGCTGCGGCGTGGCACGCTTGTGCGCCGCCGCAGTTGGTGTGGCCGACGAGGATGACGTGCTGGACGCCGACGTGGGCGACGGCGTAGGTGAGCACCGACAGCGCGCTGTCGTCGTCGGGGTGGAATTGGCTGCGCGCGAAGCGCTTGTCAGGCGTGCGTCACAGACGGACAGATGAGACGACACTCACTTGGCAATGTTGCGGTGCACGAAGATGTCGCCCGGTTTCGAAGCGGTCACGACGGACTCGGGCACGCGGGAATCGGAGCAGCCAATGTAGAGCACCTGACGGCGGAACACTGTCAGAAGCCACGTCCAACGCTCTAGCACCGCACAGAAGCAAGGGAAACACGGTCCGTATGGCTCCCCGCCACACACGCACTGTCGGCCCTGCGTTCAAGGAAGCTGACCTGCCAGGATTGGCCGTACGACGATCGAAGTAGTTCGCTCTATTGCGCCGTACCAAATAGCGCCGGGCTGCCAGCAGTGTCATCCTGCACCGCCAACCGCTGCCCCGACCCAGTTGTGACCGGATGAGAGCTGCGAGCATCGACGCCGAGTCGCCAACACCACAATTTGCAAGGGGACGAGAGATAATTGAATAGTGCCAAGCAGCGCGCTATGTACGCGGAAAATAAGCGACACCGACCTTGGGAGCCTGTCCCTTGGCAGTCTGGGCGAAAAACCCGGGCTCAGCCTTCTCGACGTCCTCCGCCCACTGGTGGTTGTTCGAGAGCAGGCGCGCGAGAATGTAGTCCTGAGGCATCGTGAAGAAGGTATCGCGGAGGCGAAAGGATGAAAGTGGGGGGCCGCGTCGGGATCAGACGTCGATTTACGAGCAGACGTCGCCTTAAATGGAGAGCAGAGGACCAGAACCGGATCAGGTAGTCGCAGATCGTCAAGACGTGCGAGGATCAAGAACGAGAACGGCGAGCGGACGGGAGCGGGAGGGTGCAGAACGGGTGGATGGTGGCGGAAGCTAAACAAGCAGCGAAAGCCGTTGGTGGGCAGGCTGATGGCTAGCCACAGGGCGGCGCAATAGATAAAGCCCACGGTCCCGCGCGCGTCGTCCGAAATCTCGGCTGTACCTCTCTCCGAGTGTAGACCGTGCAGCGCGTCTGGTGCGCAAGAATAGGCCCGTGCGTGTGTGGGCGAGCAAATGAGGGGCGTCGTCGAGGTAACCGAGCGCGGGCGCACGCAAGGCGAGGCAGAGCGAGGCTTTCCGAGAAGTCCAGCACGGACATGCGCGGGCTCGGAATAGCGCCTCCTTCCCTCTAGCGAGCTCCTGCGATTCCTGCTCAAATCCGAACGCACCTGAAATATCATACAAAGCAGCCCGCTATCGCAATCCCAGGCCCTTTGAGCACCTTCACGCCTCCACCGCGCGGTGCCGGGAGCGGTGTCAGAACATCCCAGTGTCTCCACCGCGGAGACTTGCTGCACCTGAGAGACTTTGATTTACGGCAACGCCAGATTTGGGTGCAGTAGCGTGGCAAAGCAAAGGCAAGTCCCGGCAGCCAGTGAACGTGCGGACCGAGGGAGCGGAACGGCAGCAGCGAGGCGGCGGCCATTCAGGAGGCGGCCGACCAGGACGCACGGTCGCGCCGCCGTCAACAGAGCGCAGGAAGAATCCCAGGATGACCAGGTACACGCACAGTGAGGAGAAAGAGCTTGAGAGAGAGCGGGGGCAGGGGGCTTTATAACGAGGAAAAATGCGTGCAGCCCAGTCTGGCCTCCCGCGTCCGCCCGGCAGCCCGCCAATACAAATTGATCAACGCGCGATACGTGCGCACCTCCTCCGCCCGCCCAATAAACATCCCTCGAGCCCCCTTCAACAGCAACGGACAATGGTGGCGGCGCCGGACGTCGGACGAGGCGGTGGTCTTGTCCAACGGGAGCCTTCTCGTCAGATGGAGAGTGAGGGAGAGGGGAGGACGATGGTGCAAAGCTCAAGGGCGAAGACGGAGAAGCTCATGTAAAGAAACTCTAAGGTTCAAGATTATATCTACCCCAAACGTCCTACTTACGGACGCAACGGCTCGCGGTTCATGTTAAACACGCTCATCGCATGCGGGGGCCCGGGACTGATGGTGCACAAGTTATCAAGTGCGGGTAGTGATGGCCAAGAGCGATGTTGCGAACTAAGCTGTGGAATGCTCCACTCTTCCTGTTCGCGGCCCGGTCTTCGAAGACGCAGCCACAGGCAGACACTCGCCAAGTTTAAGGACGTCGAA